TGTCTCGAAACCTAAGTGAAAGCACAGACAACTCCTTCCAAGAGCTTCTCTGTTGTAAAAGAAAAGAGGAAAAATGGCCAGTAGCTGGAGGGGAACGTATAATTACGAAAGATACTTTTTTTCTCTTTGTTTTATGTTTTTAAGAAAGACACTTATTTTAAGATGAGAGAAATAGCAGCACAGTTTATGTGGGTAGAAAATATCCAGCAAAGAGAGAAAAAATAAAAATAAAGAAGGGAAATAGAGGAATTGTCCTTCGGAGAACAGCAGGGGGACGGGCTCTCGCGCCCGTGTGGAGGGGGCCGGCCTTCGCTCGAAGCACAGATGGTTCACCCATAGTAACAGAAGTGAAGACAGAGTATTCAAGCACAGATGCATGTAGGTGGGATGCTGTGGTCGTGGGAGCTGGCGGAAATTCTTTTTTGATTGCTTCTATTTTCCCAGAGAAATAGGAAGCCCTGTCATCAGCTAAGAGAAAGGATGGGGAGGAGGTGTGGAAGGTTTGAGGAGACAAGGTATGAAATAGTTGTCCTAGAAATGGAGACGGAATGGAGTCAGGAAATGCCTTTGGAGAGCCAGGCAGCATGAAGGACCCACCTGGGTGAGTCATCGCGCCTGGGAGGGTGTTTTTCCCAGCCACAGTCAGCTGCATCTGTGTGGGCAGGAACGAGGCAGCGAGTGGGCTTTAACCGGGTTGTGCTGTAAGCAGGAGAGCAGGACAAAGTGAGAGCTGGGCCGGGTGATGAGGGTGTAGGACAAAGTGAGAGCTGGGCCGGGTGAGGAGGGTGCAGGACAAAGTGAGAGCTGGACCAGGTGATGAGGGTGCAGGACAAAGTGAGAGCTGGGCCGGGTGCTGAGGGTGCAGGACAAAGTGAGAGCTGGGCCGGGTGATGAGGGTGTAAGACAAAGTGAGAGCTGGGCCGGGTGATGAGGGTGTAGGACAAAGTGAGAGCTGGGCCGGGTGATGAGGGTGTAGGACAAAGTGAGAGCTGGGCCAGGTGATGAGGGTGTAGGACAAAGTGAGAGCTGGACCAGGTGATGAGGGTGTAGGACAAAGTGAGAGCTGGACCAGGTGATGAGGGTGCAGGACAAAGTGAGAGCTGGGCCGGGTGATGAGGCCGGGTGATGAGGGTGTAGGACAAAGTGAGAGCTGGACCGGGTGATGAGGGTGTAGGACAAAGTGAGAGCTGGGCCAGGTGATGAGGGTGTAGGACAAAGTGAGAGCTGGGCCAGGTGATGAGGGTGTAGGACAAAGTGAGAGCTGGGCCAGGTGATGAGGGTGTAGGACAAAGTGGGAGCTGGACCAGGTGATGAGGGTGTAGGACAAAGTGAGAGCTGGGCCAGGTGATGAGGGTGTAGGACAAAGTGAGAGCTGGGCCGGGTGATGAGGGTGTAGGACAAAGTGAGAGCTGGGCCGGGTGATGAGGGTGTAAGACAAAGTGAGAGCTGGGCCAGGTGATGAGGGTGTGCACAGGGGTGACCTGAGTGGCCTGAGTGACGGAGCACTGAAGCAAGGTGCAGAGGGAATGACTGACGCGCGGAGAAGACGCAAGGCAGTGAAAGGCAGTGCGATGAACGAGTTAGAGGCACAGAGGAAATGAAGACTTGGGATCGGGCAACTTGGATGGACAGGGAGATGCCTGAGGAAGAGACTGAGGAGGGGTTTCCGTTACTGGTGATGTCAGGTCTAGACTATGCCTATGCAGTGAGTGGCTGGGGCAGGGGGTGTAGGACAGGACCACGGAGAGAGAACGAAGCTAGGAATTGGAAAGATCATCTCCAGGTGACTGCAATTATTAAAAATAATGGCTTGTGTTGTCATTCAGAGAATAGAATCTTCAAGAAAGGAAGGAGAGTGATCTAGGCAGGGTCGATAAGTGCAATAAGGATGGTCAGAGTGTATTGACTATTCTCATGATTCCTTAGACTGAAAGCCTTAGTTTGTCAAAGCAATACTACTAGTGAAAACGAATTAGGTTCAGCCACTCTACATGTATTATATGCAATGATTTTGTGGGCACATTTCAAGCTTAGTGGCTGGATTATCAACTATGTGACCTTGGGTAAGGCATATAAGCTTTCTCTGCCTAAAGTTTACCTATCTGCCGAATGAGAATAACAATACCTATTTTATATCCCGAATGTCAAGTGCTTAGCAAAATTAAGTGCTTAGGATTAAAAGATGGCTAAATTCTCAAGCATAATTAGTAATGATAATTGTTGTTATCTTTCTAGATAACAACAATTATCTAGAAAAGATCTTGGAGGTATCCTTGATTTCCAGAATAAATATGTTTCTATATACATGTAAGTTCATTTTTTAAAAACGAATGAAAAAGCATTGGTAGAAACATAAAGTGAACTCCTTGAAAAAATATATTGAAAATCTTATCTGAATTCAATTTTCAAAAACTGCCTATGCACTAAGTAATGAAAGATTGTCACGTGTTACCTTAAAAAATGGGAAGAATGTATAAAAGCAAGAATACAAGATCTTGATAGCATATTTAAGTTTTCATGGCATGAGACATAATCACTTTTAGACTGAGATGTAAAGATAACATTCTCAAACATTCTTGCTCATGTATTGATGCTTTTACCAATTTATTGCACTTTTAAGTGAGCCCAATATATCAGAGCAGAGTAGTAGTGATACCAAATCAATGGGCTGATTTTTCTGCTATTGAGAAAAATCTATAATTTCAGTTACCATAACCATGATTCAGATTTCTCACATCATCAAAGTTTAGCTTATTATAAGCACTTACTAAATATATATTTTGAATGAATAAGAATTGATCTTATATTTGCCAATTACATTGTTTTATGACTAATGACTCCAAGTACCTGTGCCCAGACCTAGGATGAGTTTTTACCTCAGTAAAAAGACCAGTCTGGAGATTTGCCTTGAACTTCTTCTTAGCCCCTACCTGCCTCTGCTCGCTTCCCATTGTCTCTTCGTCCCACTCACTGTCTTTCAGCCTGGTCCTTTTTGGTGTCCAGTCTCAGATAACCATCGTCTCCGACTCCGACCTCCCTCCTCCCCACTCCACTTGTTTCTGGTTCCCAAGGTTGTCGCCGCACTTTGGCAGAGAGATGCTCTGGTTGCACACTTAGTGGTCGGCACAGTCTCTCCCGGGCGCCAGAGAGTCAGCAAGAACCACGGATCATATAGTCACCGCGACACCACCAGCTGCCATCTGATTGAACTTCATTCCCACCAGGGGCAGATGCTGCCTAGAGTGTACCCCGAATTAATATTTCTGCTAAATCCTGCTAGCTAGTAAATAGCACAGTTCATATTGCAGAACATTTTCTCTTTGGTGGAACATTTCAATCAGATGTAAGTCTATTAGATGAAGAAAAACACATGGTGGTTCTCAAACTCCCAGATTGGAAGCACCCTCACTCAGCCCCCTGGTGCCCCAAACTGACATGTAGTCAGCCCTCGGTGCGTATCGGCCCAACTGACACAGTAACTCACCATCAATACCATCCTACACTGATTAAAACCCTAAGGTGACTTCTTGTGTGTGAACTATTCACATTGGTTAAGCATTGTCTTAATTGTTACGTGATTTACATGAAAAAAAATTGAATTGTATTTGGGTGAACTGCTCATTTGTTAAAGTGGTGTTATTTGTGTAACACTGTTTCAGCATTTCCCCCTATGTTTAATGTACTGGAAATAACATGGACACAGCCCGGGCTTTTCTATGCTTCTGAGAAAACTTAACCTGGCCCAGACCCAGGAAAAATGGCCTCTCAATCCCCATCTTCAGAGAACTGAAGGATTTTATTTGTGTGTCTCTAAAGATGAAGCAGACCCCAAGGTCACGCTCTCATCCCAGAGAGGCAGTTTGTAGGTTTCTAGGGAGCTGTGTGCAAGTGTGTGTGAGTGAGTGTGTGTGAGTGAGTGTGTGCAAATGTGAGTGTGTGAGTGTGTGTAAGTGTGTGCGGGTGAGTGTGTGAGTGGGTGTGAGTGTGTTTGAGTGTGTGAGTGAGTGTGTGAGTGAGTGAGTGAGTGTGTGTTGAGTGTGAGGTGGTGGTGGTGTGGGGAGAGGAAGAAGAGCCAGGAATAAATGGCGGCAGGACCCCGACTGGTGGTGCAGGATCACAAAATCATGGTGTCAGTCTCCTTGGATGAGCTAGTCTGTGTTGAGAGGGTTGAGCTAAAAGGGAACTGTGTCTCTAGTTCCTAAAGTGGCGTTGCAGAGGGGCATGAAACCAAATCTGTTAAGTTTGCTTTATAATTTACCCTAGAATATACGATATCCAGCAGTCTATTTCCTTGGGGTAGTTTACAAAACATCAGAAATGTGGCAGGAAATACACGTGAGCTATAAATTGCCCATACGTGGTCAGGAGTCGACATCTCTGCTTGTCAGTTTGTCTCCACGTTTACAGGAACCCTTACTGTGAGACGGCCGAGACGTAAACCCAACCACACAAAATGCAGGACCGTGTTCATGAAAAACCCTTTCAGTTGCATCTGACCCATCGCAAAACCCAAAAAGGAAGTACATTAGGACTCATACTAAGCACAGCTGAGCATGCAGTAAGCCAAAAAATGTCACAAACGACTAAGGTCATCAAGGCCTAATCCCACCACTGCCTAGCACACCGCTTACCACCTGCACCCCACCTCAGCACTTGGAGGCAGGAATGAGGTCTGGTGCCAATGGCCAATCACACGATCATGTCAATGCACACAGTCTGTGGGCTTACCTTTGGGAAAAGAACATATAGCAACAGAAATGACAAAGACAATGGCAGATAAAATCGAACCACAGAGCTATTGGCAAGGACCTCAGGGAACAACTACTAGACTGGGTTGGATGCGTACAGCAGAGACAGGCAGCCCAGAGAATGTCTAACAGGGCGACATCCCCGACGCAGTATGAACAGGTGCCTAGGAACGAAGCCCGTGGCCGTGTAAGGTCACATCTCCCCACCACGCTGGGCTGCTGGGCTGCAAGCCTCCTGATCAGAATCTGTACCTTGTGCTGCTCACGTTTCCGCTGTATTGTGTTGGCTGTTTCCTCGTGGACCTGCTGAATGGCGATCTCCTCTCTGAGGGCCACCTCTGCTCTGAACAGCCAGGCACCAATAGTGCCCAGAGGTGCGGGGAGAGACTTATCAAGCTGCATGTGCCAGTCAAAGAGCTGAAATGCAAAAGTAGAAAAACCAAATTATCTCTAACGCAGAAGGCAATTCCTAAAATTCCCCCCAAATGATTTGAAAGCCTACATAAGCTTTAAGGTAATGATTTCAGGTTAATTTAATAACTATCGAGTAAGAAATGATCTCTGTTCTGAATCTGATGCTTTCAGAATGGGAGGCAACTACAGTTACCAGCAAACCTTGAGGAAACTTAATCTACATCTTAGCCAAGGAAGGACACCTGGCAGCTTAAAAGGGAAGGGACCGGCTGTGGACATACAGAGGGACACAGGAGTCACACTGCTCATGTGTGTCATCCTACGTGAGGAGAACAGGTCCAGAAAAATCAGGGTCATCTAGACATCTTGGAGGAAGACAAGTATTCAGGGTTCTTTTCATAATAACCACATTCTCCAACCATCTCTGCATGCCTTCCACTTCATTCAGTTCTCAAGCACCATTTCCCAGCTCGATGAAATGCCAGGTAGAATGGGGCAACGTGTTTGGAAACTAAGCTATTCTTTGATCGAGTTTATGGAAAACAAAATAGATGATAAAAAGTAAGAAAACAGGGTAAGTTCAAGGCAAACAGTCCCTTCAGTGATAGACAGGTCAGAGGTTTTGAAACTGTGGTCTTCAAATGTGCAAAGTATTAATATTAAAGTTACCGAGCAGTTTGCCTTCAGGTTCACGAAGGACCAGATACAAAGGTATGTTCCATTAAAGATTATAAAAATGAGTGTGAATATAGGAAGATTATTCACTATTTAAAAAAAATTTTTTTTTTTAATTTGAGAGAGAGAGGAAGGGAGAGGGAAAGAGAGAGATAGAATCATCGATGAGAGAGAACATCGACTGGCCGCCTCCTGCATGCCCCCCACTGGGGATCGGGCCCACAACCTGGACATATGTCCTGAACGGGAATCGAACCGGCGACCTCTTGGTGCATGGGTCGATGCTTAATCACTGAGCCACAATGGCCAGGCAAGATTATTCACTATTGATGAAACATGATTATGGAAAATAGAGAAGAAGTGTGAAGACTCCAATCCTGAACAGCTCAGAGTTATTTTGTGTAAAGTGAGAGTAAGCCAGATGGTCTTCCAAAATTTCAGTCTATCGACTAGTCATTGGGGACATCACATATAGGGCAGGTAAGGCAGGAAAACATTGTTCTATAAGCACTTCCACTAACTTAAAGGACAAGGATGCTCCTAGCTAAGCCTTTCCCACCTCAGACAGCAGGAGGCCTCGTACAACATTACCAGGTAGAAAGGGATGATGGAAAATATTCTAGACTAAATTACATAAGCCCTAATAAAATTAATCATGGAAGAACTTACCCTGGAGGACACTCTTTCCCAGGACTGTTTTACCAATGCTTGGTCCAGTGTCAATTTACCATCTCTATGTAACGGTTGTATTAAATGCTCAATCTGTTTCCGTTTTATTTCATATTGAACTCTGAAGTGCTTAAATGACTAAAAGAGGGGGGAAAAAAAGCAACAACATGGCAATGAGTCAAAAAAAGCAAAAGCAAAGGAAACCCACATTTCCTAAATAACAATCTTTTCTATTTGGATAACACTCAGTATGTGTTGGTGATCATGATAATGATGCTAATAGAAGCTGCGATGCATCGTGTGCTGACGGGAAGCCTGGCTCCGTGCTAAGTGCTTTCTACACATTTTACATTAAATGAACACCTCCTAAAAGCTGACTCCACGTCCAGCTTTGAATGGAAAAGACCACTAATACGAGCAGTTATGTTAAGAACATGAGAATGGCCCTCCAGAATCTACCAGTCAATGAACACATCTAAACGAATGTCTGTCTTCGAGTAAACAGACATGTCAGTCTGCAAGAAGAACACTGACGGGAGACGGTGAATAAATATTTGACCACAGTGACCTCCCTTCCTCCAATTTAATGTAATTGAAAATTGCCAAAATATGTAATCAACTTCCATTTTATTCCACGAAATCATATGCACGGGAAAATTGGAAAATAGACTATTGCTTGAAAGGCAGAACCAGGTAGAAAATGTTGATGACACAGAAACCCACAAACAAAAGGAAACGTTCCCTGTGTTCAGGTGTCAGATGACCTCTAACCCCGTTTTATGAGACTGGTGAGCATGTCTGGCCCAAAAGGGGTGTTTCTGTTTGGGACTTTCCTAATCCTTTGGTTCACTTTTATAAAATAGCATCTGTACATAGGTAATTTTATACCTTGAATTTTAGCTTTTGATAATTTATGCTAAAACTGAAACTCACTAAAGGACTAAATATGTATATTCACTCTGTCCTTGTGTTTCTATTCTCAATTTACTGGTTTAATAACATTTTTTTAGTGGAGTTCATCCCAGAAAATTGTATTTTTTGGGAAAAATATTACCTATAAGTACATATTGGCCACTTTCCCATGGTCATCAAATATAATATTGATCCATCTAAATTGAGGCACGCTTTATAGATAAAATTATATGAATATTATATGATTATGTTAACTGTATATGTAGATGATTATATATACACTAATACAGTAGCTAAATCTTTTATTGTTCGCCATGTTGACTCTCTCACATCATGGTATCTTTTTGTAGCAAAAATGATTGAAATATAACACAGACTAGACTATAGTATAGTTTTGCTACTAAAATGCTATGCTATTTTAAGTAGGAAGAAAATGTCAATGCTGCATAAAATAAATCACAATTTAATTGGCAAACCCGTTATATGATTCGTGTCTTGGAAGTGGAAATTGGAAGCCAAAATCCAATTAATGTCAGTGTACTGAGACCGGAGGAAGCAGCCACCACCATAACCTCAGCCTGAATGCAACAGTGTTAGACAAGGCAGGTTGTGGTAGAAACGGATTCCATTAATGGGTCCCCTCCGAACAGTCATGGTTCAATCCTTTATTCAATTCACCTTATTCTACAGTAATTTTCAATTTGTCACTGAAGTCCTTTATTTGGTGAATTGTGTTGTGGTCGTTATGTGACATCTACAAAATCATAAGTTTTATAAAAACAAAAACTAGATATTTGTGTTCTGGACCATTTATAAGACTCTGAATTCTGGAAAAGTCATGTAGTCCCAGAGCTGTATACACAGTGCAGACCCTACAATTTAAAACTAGTTGTTTACATAGAAATCCAATTATTAAATTACATGCAAATGAGATAATGTACATGATTTCTTTACAGACTTTTTCCATTAATATCATTTGAAAGATTAAACATAGATGAAATGACATGTATAAACCTTACTCATGAGAAGTTTTTAAAAACTGAAATCTCTTTTTCATACATTACCTGATATTTTTCCTGCAAATTTGACTCTGTCATCTGTGCCCTGGTCAAATCTCTTTCAAACTGTTCGATCCAAACTTTCATTTCCTTCAGAATCAGCCTGTCTTCTCTCTAGAAACCAGCAGGCATTACAGTTTTATTAGTAACTGTGCATTCATTTAAATGCTGATTATACCTGACTAATCCTAGAAGTGACTTAATGTTTAATCATTCAATTGTCTCTGAGAATTCTTCTCTCTTCCCGCCACCATCCCTAATGTAGAGTAAAAAACAAGAGTTGATTCTGTAAAAATACTTGAATTATCTTTGAGTACTGAAATAATCCATTTCTATTTTTTTTCTCAAAAACAACAAAACCCAACACTAATTTAATTAAGAAAATGCTTGCAGAGGGGAATTCCTTAGTAAAAAGATTACACAGCAATAGCTGGAATGGGAATAGAAACATAGGCCCACAGTTGCTTCTAACCCAAGGCCACTGGTAACCAGAACATTATTCTGGATGGGATTAATCTTGACTGAACCCAAGAAGCTACAGTCACAGTAACATCCAACTGCCTGTGCACATTACTGAAAAATATTATTCAGTGTTATAAGCTCCATGTGAGCAGAAAACACATTTATCTTGTTCCATGTAGTATCTCTAGACCCTGGCAACAGAGCTCCCTTAAGGTATTTACTAAATTATATGCTGAATAAATGCATCCAGAATACCACTCTCATCTCAAAAAAGGAAGAAAAAATAAGGAGGTTTACACGCTACTCTAGCATTGAATTCGTGCAAGTACCCTAATTTTTCAACAAGATTTCTTAGCTGGTAAAAATGCCAAAGTAATCATAAACACAGGGAACTTGACTTTTTGGCAACTTACAAATAACTGTCAACTGCAACACCTCACTTGAGCACAGCCCTGCGACAGAGAGGAATGGTCTCGCCGACGGGGGAAGGGGCTGAGTAGCAAGTGTGCTGCCTTGGAGGCAGGGAAAACTGGTTACAAATTCTGGTTTTGACATGAATTATCTCGGGGACCTTGGGCACCTGCTTTGTTTTTTATCTCTCCATTGTTGTACGATCTGAGGAGTCGGCACACACCCTTCCCATGGTTTGGGGCCAGCAGAGATAACCTTAGCAACACACCTAGTACAGAGATCGGCACACAGTGCTATCGCCCTTCATGCCCTCTCTGTCTCCAGTCTTGCCTGGAGCGTTTCCCCGGACAATGCCTTCTTTAGGCCTCAGCTCAGGCACACTCTGACCCAGAAGCTTCTTTCTAACCTAGAAGTCTCAGCCAGCAGATCTCCAACTTTAGGGTGCGCTGGGATCAGCCGCAGGGCCCATCTGTGGAAACAGATTGCCCGGCCTTCTCTACGATGCTGTATCTACCTAAACTCGAAGAGTCATCCAAAATTCACCGTATTTTATCGTCCACTAAATTGTCTCTCTCCCCCCACATGTAAACCCTTGTGTATTTTTTGTTTTACTCTCTCCTAACACACTGGCACCCAGTATCGCTCAATAAATAATTGTGGAATACATGATACACTGCTAACGTAGTTAATTAGGGAAATAAATGGGACGGGAGCCCAAAACTCGGGAGCTTAAGCTCCTCCCCCTACGGCTCCTCTGAATGAACAGTGAATGTGATCAAGGCACATGACTGATGACCAGTTACTGTCATGCTCATAAAGGCACTAATGACACATTCTTATGAGCTCAGAGGAACAAAATGCTCTTGGTTTACCTGAAATAAAATTTAATTTAACATTTGATCTGAAATTAGTTACTTCTGATATTTTATTGTGACATTGACATATCTATTGTGTTGATAGATCCTTCAGCTCAGGCCTATATGGAATATAAAACAATGATGAGAAAACTGACGTACAGGATAACTTGGATATGGGAAAGAATTCATAATCAGTAATTCCACAAATATTTTTGAGTACTGACCACATGTTAATAACTTTGCTAAAACATGTGACCAAATAATGAGCAGAAGAGTTGTGATTAACTCAGAATTATAAGTTAACTAAATACTTACTTATTTCATTTAATTATTTCCTGCTTAATTATTTAAAATATAAGAAATAACTCTTTAACTTTACTTTTCTTTTCCATTTCAAATATGATGAAAACAAACATTGTCACTGCAAATTCTCCCTTTTATTAGTGTTATTAAGTGTTATTTAAGAGGAATTAATTGATGCCATTATATAATTAAAGATTAGTGGGAAAGTCTATAGGAGTGGCTTAGAATGTAACTAACATTTAATAACATATGTTATTTGTTCTAATGAAAAGAAAATAGGAGAATTAAGGTATTAAAAGAAATGTATATGCAAAGACAAATACATGCAAAGTAATGGCTAACAAACTATGGAATGAATGTAGGATATTTGAAAGAGGTCACTGATTTAAGATTACTTAAATCTTACCTTAAGATTTTGGATAAAATTTGCAAAAGTTGGGAAATCTGGAAATAGTTCCTAACAATATGAAAAGATAATATATAGAAAAATAATATAAACCAGGGATGAAAATGATATAGAAAACAAGGAGGAAAAATCAGGGAGAAGCATCTGTCTATAAACAAATAGATAATAATTTCAAGGGTTTAGTTACTTTAAGATGTTTTTCATAACTTTTCATTTTTCTTTTCATAACTTTTAAAAGTATCAGAATGTTTGAATCCAATCAGGCAATGTAGTATTCTGGTATTCAATGTTTTCATTTTCATTTGTAATACTCATATATGGCAATATATGCATTTTATAAATGTCTTGAATTATTAAACTTTTTATTTTTTTAAATATGTTTTTATTGATTTTTTTTTTTAGCGAGAGAGGAAGGGAGAGAGAGCTAGAAACATCAAAGTGAGATACATCCATTGGCTGCCTCCTGCACACCCCCTACTGGGGATCGAGCCTGCAACCCCGGCATATGCCTGGACCCCTTGACGTGGAATAAAGCCGGGACCTCTCAGTCCATGGGATGATGCTCAATCCACTGAGCCACACCGGCCAGGAGAAATATTGAACTTTTTAAAAGAATAATGTAGAGAAAAGACATGTGGGTTCATATTTTTCTTCATAAATATGATCATAATATGTGTCTATCTCCATGACAACAATTAAGGCTGAGCTGTGCTTCTGAAAGCAGTCAGTAATGTTTGTTGCAATGGGAGAAGGAATGAGTAATAAATAACTGAACGTTTAATAGGTGAGACAGATGGGTCAATGGGCTTATTTTATTTCCTTACTATTGAGTGCTCATTAACCAAGGAATGCCTTTAGGGGAAAAAGTTTCTTTACCTGTTGTACTGGTTGAAGTAAGAAAAGTATAGTGTGTGTATTTACAATAACATTTGATTTTAAATGACATCTAATTTAAATAAAATAACTAACTTAAATAAATTCACAAAGAGGACATAGAAATCAATTATACCAAAAATGGAAGCCTGGTAGATATATTGATGACAATATTTAAAAAAATGAATTAAAAGAACTATTTACTAAGGCCTGAGTAGACAAATATTGGGTGTTCGAGATGACAGAATCCATAGTTCCAGCAGGTATATTCTATAAAATCTTACAGGTTCATGAGACAAAATTAGGTGGCCATTTAGCTTCATTCAACAAACATAGGCCCTATGTCATAAAAAATATAATTTTACTCAAAATAGTAATTTTAGGTGGTTATGCCCTACATTACATATGTCACATTAAAAAAGGGCAATGTTTATACTACATTTTTCTCGAAGTTAATTTTTGAAATAAACCTGAAGAAATCATTTGTATCCTCTAGTTAGGGAGGGGATAGAGGGAATATTTAAAAGAACAATCAGAATTTGTTTTCCAGATAATGAGATTAATCTCAGAGTAATAAAAGCCTCTTTAGTAAAGTACATTGATGAGCTTGCAGGGGTGTGTGCTGCAAATCTCTAAGAATTTTTGCTTTAGATTCCTGTTCGTGAGCATTAGGAAAGCACCCCCTTTTGTTCTCAGACTTTTTCAGCCACAGAATTTACTCATCCGGTGACATGATTAATGCCAGAAATTAAAATAGTACAAACTCTTAATCAGACCAGCAATAAATCCAGTTGGGTAATATAAAGACATTAGACTTGAAAATCAGACAAAAAGCTGATTTTCTCTATGTGTATTGTCTAATATGCTGCCTTTACAGTTTCTTATTTGCCCAGCAGCATCCCTGGCAGATTATATTCTCAAAACCCAGGAATCCCCCAAATGGTTCAAAGCACATGACTCGTGATTTATACTGGGGTTTGCACACTGCGCTTTGGCCTCCTGCGATGCTCCTCGGAAACATTGACTCTGTCAGCTATAGATCAGTTACTCATCGGTCCACATTTCTGCCTGAATCCTCGCAAGGAACAAAAAAGGTTTCCTGAAACTGTAGTTTTTAAGAAAGTACTACAGTTCTATCAAATGCCGGATTCACTTCATCCAAGCAAACCAGGAATTGTCAGTGACCATTGTTTTGCTTAATTCTTTAATGAAGTCACTGCTTTCTATTAGTGCAAAGCCTTTTCCTATTTGAAAACTTTAGTCTATGTTCCCCTGGCCTTCTTCTTATTTAAACCTACATCTAAGTTTATTTAGAAAATTATTTTATTTTAGTTTTTGTTTTTCCTGTTGTTCTTTGCTGTAAACTCAGGCTGCTATGACGACTCTAGATGAGACATCAGCCATGAAGATAAAGAGAGTCTTTAATACATTCTGCAAGTTCTATTTATTATTTCCTTGTTGTTTTCCTTTTAATCAATCAATACAGTAGTAAATCCATCTCTCTATAATAAAAACACTACTTTTAACAAATTAGGAAAATGGTAATATCCATTGTTGTTAAAAACTGGGAAGATAGGCTTTCTGGGATGCTGGCTAGAGTATAAAATGGGACAAATTTCCTACAAGGGATTTGAAAACCATTTCAAAAAGCATTAAAAATCTATGGGTTCTTTAGGATAGGAAGTACATTTCTAAGAAATAACTGTAAAACAATGCTTTATTGCAAAATTTTCATAAAAACATTTTTGATATCAACAAAAACATCAGAAATTTCCAAAAATTAAGTTTGAATAAATGAATTACTATACATAAATATGATGCCCTGGAGAGAATGACATGCAAAGTTCAGTACAATGGCAAGCAAATATAAAATTGTATGTATACTATGATTCTATTTTTGTTCAACTATTATATGTGTCTATATATAGACATGGAAAAATGTTTGAAGCTCACATTAACGCATTAATTTATTTTTCTATATATGTTCTCTCTAGAAAGTCAGATAGAGATAATTTCTTTTTTACAATTTTTGTTTTTATTTATTACAATGATCATATGTCATTTGAGTAGTATAAAAAATGTAAGTGTTATTTAAACGATTGAAAAATCTAACCACAGTGAATAATTAGAACTTTCATAAATTTGCCTTGTGTGATGTGAACTGTAATTCACATAATAAAATCTTAAAGTCAGCATTAGTTTTCATCAGACTGAGAACAAGGGAACTCAAGATCTAGATGCACAAATGATGGCGTGGATATGAAATTACTTCCAACCTTAAATTACTAGAATAGAGTTTCCCAACACCAATAGCTTGCCTCAATTTCAATTCATCAGAACTACATATGCAACACTTAATATTGCTTTTTCTGTCATAGCCAACATACAAGTCAGAGAAATCTTTCTCTCTAATCACCTCCAAAATCGGTAATATCTATTCTTTACTCAGTTGCTCTCTTATTAAAATGTACTATAATTTAATTTTTTGGAAACAGCATGCTTAAACATCTGAATCACTGTCATTGAGTGCATGTTAATACTTGAAGAAACAAACAAACAAATACTTACATCGGTCTCTAGCCCATCAGTGCCTGTATTGTGGATGTCAGGATAATGTTTCAGAAACTGGGCTACATAGGTCATAATAGACTTCTCATCTGGTTTATCCACATCAACATCTGGAAAAACCAAAAACAAATGTGAATAAATTAATTCACATTAATTAGATTATAATAATATAAGCTTTGAAATCTAGCCAATATACCAAAGACACGGTTCTAAAGACAGAAAAAAAACAGAATTCATATTTAGAAAAAATTGTTTGGATGGGGGACAAATGTATTCTGAATGATATATGGTGGCAATATTATAAATCATAAAGGTGGCATTTTAACTAAGAGCTTTTTGGAAAGTAGGACTTGTTTTATTGAAATCTCAACACTAATTGATCAAAACCCTGAGATACTATATGGCTATTCAGGCATTCTGTCTAGTTAATAAAATACACATAATAGGTAAGTTTCAGAATTGCGGTAAGTGGGTAGTATTTAAAACACAGGTGTGAAACTGAATAACAAGTGAGTATATAGCTTGTATAACTACATATGACCAAATATAGATCTCCCCAAACCCCACAAATTTTGCTTTAAAAAGCGGAAGATGCCCTGGCCGGTTTGGCACAGCGGTTAGAGCGTCGGCCTGCGGTCCTGAGAGACCCGGGTTCAGTTCCCGCTAAGGGCATGTACCTCGGTTGCAGTTTGTCCCCGGCCCTGGTCGGTTGTGTGGGTGGCAGCCACTCGATGTGTTCCTTTCACATTGATGTTTCTCTCTCTCTCTCTGTTCCTCTCTCTCCCTCCCACTCTACCTGAACAAAAAATGGAAAAATGTCCTTGGGTGAGGATAAAAAAAAATAAAAATAAAAATAAAAAATAAATAAATAAAAAGCGGAAGATGCCTTATATTCAATTCATTAGAAAGCCTTCCATTAGGAAGTATTCTCTCTAAATGACTGTGCTCTGAACAATCAAGTACTTTTTGAGGGAGACACAGAACCTGAAAATATTTTAATCATCGTCATTTTAAATGTATAAATAAATGTTTACTTAATAAAATTAGTAAAAATAAGGCAAATTTATTTATACAAATTTAATATGTATACATTGGGGTAAGACTACATAAATAAAAGGTGCTGAATTGTAAAAAAAAAAATCCTTCTAAATATCCTTTTTAAAGGCGATGAAAACTGAAATCTCACCTTTCAAAATAACTTGCTTACACTGTATTTAAACTTCTTCATTAATTAATAACATTTCCATAACTGTCAATCCAAATAAAAAATTATCTGTGACATTTGGGAAGTGAGCTTTGACACTTTTATTTCAGTATAACAAACAACTCAGTTTATTAAAGTCATCAAAACTGTCTTTTGAAGGCTTGAAAGAGTTAACTCCATTTCTAAAAAGTCTTATTCGGTGTCTTACTAAAAAGAAGCCAAACAATTGCAATAAAAAAATATTAGTCAATCCTGATTGACAACCAAAACACTGCATAGTATCAACATTTCTAAGTATTTAATAACTGACATTTTTAAGGTATGATTGTAGAGTACTAATAATTTTTTATTTCTTCCAGATTCTATGAAGTTATACAAATAGTCCCTTTATTCTGTGACACCCCATCCCCCCAAACACACACACAGAACTTTCACTCCACTCGTAAATACAATGAGTAAGTACAGTTCAGCTCGCTGAGCCACCAATGTCAAAGTGTCATTTGGAGCCATATAGAGTTGTATTTTGCACCTAATTATAGCAGCAAAATGTTTCCAAAAGAAAATCAGCACAGGAAGATACTGTTTATTTGTGCTTTTCTCAAATTTTCTGGCCTCTCATAGAATCTTACAAGTCATCTGTAATTTGTGGGTGTAAAACATACAAACCTACTGAGTTGAACCAACAGTTGTTGAACGTACCTTCGGGATCTAGTAACCTGGGGATCCCCAGTTCCGTTTCAGCAATAGTGAAAGCTTCCTCCAGGTTTTCTCGGTTAGCTCTCCCTTTCACCCTCTCCAAGTCCACTAGCTCTGGTCGAATAGCATGGATGACTGAATGGAAGGCAACCCCATTCCTCCAACTCCGTCCAAAGTCTTTTATTTCTATTCCAGTCTGCCTTCGTGAGATAAAAAAAAAAAAGGTAGAATAATGTCACATTCTGAGTAGATAATATGCATTTTTCTCAAGGCCTCATGCAGAATCCAATGCTCTTTAGCAATAAATGATATTTGGTCAGCTGTATTAGTTACCTGATTTTGAGCAAAACAATATTTTTAGAGGGTAAGAAGATAAGATGTAGAAATTCTAGTTCCGCATTTAAAGATTTCTATATTAGATTTTTCAGTAATAGAGATACTCAATTTAAAGCACATTTTAAAGAAAGCTAATTTCAATAAAAATGTATGGCAAAATTTTTAAAAAGGGTAAAATTATATGAACATTGTATATTTTTTGAAAAAGTATGTAACATTTTTTAATAACAATGATAAGCCAATTGTGTTGTACCCGCATAGGTTATAGTAGACATAATAAAATAGACATTAAATAAAATAACATCACTCAATTTTCTTTTTTTACCCTATATTCTCAAAATTTCCAAGAATTGTAAGATAGAACATATCTGACTGACAAACTGATTAGCATCAAAAGTTGGTAAATGCCCTTCAATTTCATCTTAGTAAATTTAAGATTCACTTAAATTATGTTCTGCCAATGTATATTCAGTTTGCATAAAATATATTGTCCTGCCCTGGCCAGTTTGGCTCAGCGGTTAGAGCGTCGGCCTGCGGTCCAGAGAGACCCGGGTTTGGTTCCCGCTAAGGGCGCGTACTTCGGTTGCAGTTTGTCCCCGGCCCTGGTTGGTCATGTGGGTGGCAGCCACTCGATGTGTCCCTTCACGTCGATGTTTCTCTCTCTCTCTCTCCCTCCCACTCTATCTGTACAAAAAATGGAAAAATATCCTCGGGTGAGGATAAAAAAAATATATATATATATATATTGTCCTAAAAATAGCATCATTAGATCTAATCATTGGCTTCCTAACTAAATATTTAAAACACAATTTTGTAAGAGTCCAGCATTTGGAAAGTAATCTTGAGTCTTCTAGTTCTTTTAGAGTTTCTATCTTTGGTTGTACATACATAACTTTTTTTTCAGGCAACATACTGGCCAATAGCCACCCAGGTTGAACAGAGTGTCTGTTATCTATTCATTTGTACATCCGCCTCTGGCTTCATCTTACTTTTCTATCTGTATTTTCCCTTTGCCCATATCGCCTCATTTAAAAGTGATTTTGTACTCATAGTCTCTCAGGCCACCTCAAAGTATTTTTAACAGAATATAGTAGGGTGTAAATAAATAATTAGCCTATGAATATCCATCATGAAATCATATATTTACTGATTTTCTTTACCTTGTTTATTGTTTTAGACATTTTCAAAAATAAATATATGAAATGTTTCTTGAAATATTTACTGTTAGAGTAATTCAAAACATTTCAGTGTGTCTTCTTCTATATTTGCTGAAGGCACACACACACACACACACACACACACACACATTCCTACACTGTTTCATATTAGATCAAAGTAGTAGATAATATTACTTGAAAATTTCAGTCTTAGTCCAAATCATTTATTTAAGAATGTTTCTTTGTGAAACTTTAAAAAACTTAGATATATGCCCTGGCAGGTTTGGCTCAGCGGTTAGAGCGAAGACCTGCGGTCCAGAGAGGCCCGGGTTCGGTTCCCACTAAGGGCATGTACCTCGGTTGCAGTTTGTCCCCAGCCCTGGTTGGGTCGTGTGGGTTGCAACCACTCGATGTGTCCCTTTCACATCGATGTTTCTCTCTCTCTCTCTCCCTCCCACTCTATCTGAACCAAATATAGAAAAATGTCCTCGGGTGAGGATAAAAACAAACAAACAAACAAACAAAAAACTTAGACATACCATTTAAGGAAGTGATGAAGTATGTACATTTTAAAGGCTTTTCTAATACTCTGATAATATTACTTTAAGTTATTTTGAATGAATCTGATATACATATCTTCATTTGTTTGGTTATATTATTAATTTTGTCCTAAAAACCAATTGTTTTTCTTAGTTGAAAGTAAGGCATGTAGCCTAGCTGGTGTGGCTCAGTGGGTTGAGCATCCTCCCGTGGACTGAGAGGTCCCAGTTTGATTCCCGGTCAGGGCACGTGCCCGGGTTGTGGGCTCGATCTCCACAACGGGGTGTGCAGGAGGCAGCTGACAGATGTTTCTCTCTCACATCAATGTTTCTATCTCTCCGTTCCTTCCTCTCGCTTTAAAAAAAATCAATAAAAACATGTTTTAAAAAAAGAAAGTAAGGTATGCAAATGTCAGATATGCTATAACTTAATGCTTTCATTTCTGAGAGTGCACACTGACAGTAGATGCAATTGTTAAAACAGAGAGAGAGTGGGGCACTAACTACCTTGTGTTGCTGAAACAGTTTTTATGTTTACTTCTCAAATATTTCAAAATTTTATTAGAAACCAGTGAGTTTCTGACTTGTGACTCTTGAGAAATTGTAGTAGAAATTAAATGAAAAGCCCTTCCCACATTGCTGGTGTGCTGTCTGCACTTTACCCATGATGAGCAATGCTAATCTCTTTTTGAAGTTTAAGTAGACAAGAAGGAGACCGGTTACCACATGCTATGACATTTGTCATGGTGCTACTGCAATAAAGCTTTATAGTATTCTGACAACTTGCCTGGTACTTACTGGATATTTTATCATTTGTCACCATCTTTAACCTTTTCAGACTGATAAACCCACAGATAATCACTTTAGAAACATGTCAAGATTCTAAAGTCTTATCCATGTCAGGTAAAAGTTACTTTTAAAATATAGATTGGGATAGTGTAAAAATCAGCTTTTAAAAAAATTATTAGCTTTGGTAGAATAATAGAATCATGTGTTTGTCAGAGAATTTTCATAGCAGAGAACAGTCATCTCCCCAAATCTCTATAATTTATGCAGCTGTAAAATAAATGGATCTCATTAATGCATTGATGGGCGGAGAATTCTTGGGTCCAGGAATCTGGACATTTATACAGATAAGTAAAATGCAACTTCCACTAATGTTGTAAATATACAAGTTGCATAAATGACTTTTATTTATTTATTTATTTTATCTTTTTTTTTTTTTTTATCCTCACCCGAGGACATTTTCCCATTTTTTGTTCAGGTAGAGTGGGAGGGAGAGAGAGGAACAGAGAGAGAGAGAGAAACATCGACGTGAAAGGGACACATCGAGTGGCTGCCACCCGCACAACCGACCAGGGCCGGGGACAAACTGCAACCGAAGTACGCGCCCTTAGCGGGAACCGAACCCGGGTCTCTCAGGACCGCAGGTCGATGCTCCAACCGCTGAGCCAAACCGGCCAGGGCGCATAAATGACTTAGTTATCACTAGACCTCTGCACATCTATGAAACCCAAAATACCATGTGTTAAAAAAAATTAATGCAGGAAAAATGTATTTTTTTAATTAATTTAATGCTCTGTGGAACAATGGACTCAAGAGACTAACATATAGACATTACTATAAAGTTTTATTGCAATAGCACCATGACAAATGTCATAGCATGTGGCAAGCGGTCTCCTCCTTGTCTACTTAAACTGCAAAAAGAGATTAGTAATGCTCATTGTAGGTAAAGTGCAGACAGTACACCGGCAATGTGGGAAGGGCTTTCCATTCACAATTTCTCAAGAGTCACAAAGCTTTGCTTTCAGAAATATTTTTGAGTGCAATTTGAATCATACAAATATATCCCAAATTAGAAAACAACCAACACACTTAAACATTTTTTAACTATGTAAATTAGTAACACCAATTATATCTTCTTTATGTTTATTTTTGTCTCTATTTTTGCTTTTCAAACACTAGAAATAGAATTCCCTATGTTTAGCACCTCAATATTTTATAATGATAAGTACTTGTTTACAACTGTTTTCCGGAAGTAAAGGAAAAGGTTCAGATTAGATTTAGGCATCTAAAACAAAACAGAAAAGGAGTTAATTTCACACGTCATTTAGGAAAATAATACAAAAGAACAACTTCTACGTGAAGCCATCTTCCCACTGACCACCGCTCACCACAAAATACTGGTATAATCAACTGAAAACTCTATTGAAATTGCTGTGAAAAGGGACTTTTCAGAGTGGCACCTCTCTATCCAGCATTATAACGTAAATGTACACACATGTAAATTTATTATATCTAGAAGGAAACAAAACTAGAAGCAAATTATCCATCCATAAAACTGGAGTTGACAAAGGAATCTGCACTCCAGAGAGAAGATGAAACCAAAGGATAAAATTAAAAAATAAAACTGCTAGAAACTTTCAGGAAATAATAACAAATATAATATTTCAAAGTGTGAACCTTAGTTCTAATTACTATTAAATAGAGCCCAATAGTCTTACAACTAGATAATCAAATTTCAATCTTAAATTTATTTGTGTAAAGATTATTTAATAGGAGCAAAAGTCCAATGACTTGAACAGAAATAGCCCTCATGCTACTAATGAAAGTATAGGGATTAAATGACTTCATTAATCAGGCCCAATGGCAGAAGCAATTGGTTTTATTACAGCATTTTCCTAGAGTATTAGTGATGACTTGTTTCTATGTTAACTCAAGAAATGAGTGAAACAAGACCTGAAGCAAAGCAATTCACTCAACTGTCTCTTCAAATTTTGCAATCATTGAAGATGCACTGGGTGATAAATGGTAACTCACATTACTCCAGGATTTCAGATTTAACCAAACCCTTGGTACTTACTTGGCTGCTGTGTGCTGAACCCACTTTAACAAAGCCTTCTTAGCATTTCCTTGGATCTTGGTGGCCGCTTTGCGTTTGCTGGGGGGGCTGGCGGTCTCCGAGCTGACCATGCTGTCCACAGAGGATGCGCTACTGGACAAGGACTGCAGCTGCGGCAGGTTGCTGGTCAGCTCCTCAATCTGTGGGTGTGGTAACAGTCAGCACAGTTTAGGAATTATCTTTGCTCTTCGTTCCTCAATGTTTCACTTTTCCAACTAAAAACGATTTATCTTAACACCCTTAACGATGCTGACAAAAAGTAAGTTCTTAAAGGGCTGGCTTGATGCTATGCTCCTCTTTGCACTTCTATTGCATCTAAAACTGCATCTCTGTGCCTTGTAGGCATAGTAATGAACGCTGGTTTAATACATGTGAATTATTAAATAAAGCCTAATGGTCATCCAAACTCATAGGATGTACACCCCCAAAAGGGAAGCCCGATGTGAACTAGGGGTTTTGGGTGATAATGATGTGTCAAGATAGGTTCATTATTTGTAACAAATATACCATTCTGATTATGATGGTGGTGACGAGGTGGCTATGCATGTGTGGGAACAGGGTCACAGAGGAGTCTCTGTACCTGAGGCTCAAGTTTGCTGTAAACTTAAAACTGCTCTAAAAAAAAAAAAAAAGAAGAAGGCTAGAACTACTATTATTCTGGATGGAATGGCAAGTTAATTTCTCCTTTTAATGTCTAATAGGGGCATAGAACTGCTCCGTTCTGGAGAACAGAGAAAAATCTTCTGAACCTCCTATACCAATATTTCATCTTCACTGTGCCCTGTCCACTTTTCAGATTGCGTACCTATGCCAGAGTCCTTTGGGGAGTTCCATGTCTAACACCTTTACAGGGAAGAAGAGGAAATTCTGCTACCAAAACCAATGTCTGTGTGAATGTCAGGTATCTGCAAGTTTGAGAGTCAACCCCGAAAATATGGCAGATGACAGCATTATAAAATGCCCATACTATTTCCATGATATTATATCAACTGATGGGGAAGCTATAACACAGTACCTGGAAATAGAGAATAATGGTCCACACCAGTCCGAGAACTATTGAGGGTCGGCCATCCGCGATATCAGTGGAGTTAATGTTGACTAATTTAATCTGTTTAAAAAGAAAAACTATACTAGTAATGTACTGGAAGATTATAACCCATTTAATTATGCAATGAGGAGCACTATATTAGACATCAATAAGACTTGGACATGCCTGTACAGTGATACACACGAGTAAGTAGGGTGAGCATAAAAACAAGCACATGGGTTTGGTGGAAATTTCAGGAGCATTCATTAAGTGCACATGATAACATTAACTACAATATGTAATAAAAAACTTTAAGTTGAAAAAATAGGGCATCATGCAAGGTATTACCAATAAAATGCCAGACAGGAACAAAAAAAGGGGTATTTACATTCAGAACTCGACTGGAATTTAAAAGAAACTGTGATGAATAGTTTAAGAAGATGCACTTACTTTGAAGTTTGTTACCAAATAGCATGAAACTTATGTTCTCTTTTACCTATAAAAGTCAGGAGGTAAAAATTCTAAAATTTGTACTAACCGGTGATCCTCTGTACATGGACTGACATGGAAAACAAAGGGAGAAGATGATACGCACACATAAGTAATCTTTGAAAATCAGTGTTACTTGTTCAAAGGGAATAAAAGTGTAGGAAGTAAATTTAGGGCTTAGTTGAAGAACAGATTTTAAAGACAAAGGAAAGCCAAGAAATAGTAAGCAAAAAGAGACTGAAAATGTTCAGGTCCCTATTTTAGGCACTGATAACTATAAAGTATTTGACACACATGTTATTTTGTCTACAATTGCTCCCAATTATTCATCTCAGTGCCTTCCCAGCTATCAAAAAAGTTATTTCCTAAGTCCTAGCAGAATGGATTTTCTCTCAGTCAATCTTTATAGAATATAATTAGAACTGTTCATCATCTTTTCATAATCACTAAACAAATATAAAAGAATAACAAAGTATTCCTTAAACATCTAGCTCAATAATTCTCAGCTATAATTTCATGAGCTGTGTGATTAATAATAATAAAGTTCAGAAGCTTGTAAATGGTTTACTTTAATAAAAATTTGTCAGATGCAAAGTCATCCCACAAATAGTTGACTTAATTACTTTAAATGTGCTAGTTAAACATCAAGAGGAGTAGTGTAAAAGTTAGCACACAGATCATTGGATACAATTTGACTCACATCCACGGGGTTTTTGTCTCACTGGTAATTTTCATTCATCCTCTTCAGAGACGGAAAAAGTGATAGTTACCACAGATTACCAGCTTGTGTGTACTAGTTTTAGGGCTTGTACACTGTGAGACATATAATACATTTGTGGGAAACAAGGATCTTCAATGCTGTTTAACAGAACGTACCACAATCTTTATAACCATTTTGATTACTCTGTTTTACATCTTCTCCAGAATATTCCCCACATTCATTTTAGTAACCAAGGGCCACAAATGTAAAATATATCCTAATAACCATAAGATTATAGTCCACCATCTGTATCCTTAGGTTCTAATCACCAATCAAAAATATTTTTTTAAATAAGTTTTTTAGTGATTTTTTTTTTTTTTTAGAGCGAGAGATAGAAACATCAATGTGAGAGAGATACATCAATCGGCTGCCTCCTGCACGCCCCCTACTGGGGATCGAGCCTGCAACCCAGGCATGTGCCCTGACTGGGAATCAAATCAGGACCTCTGGGTCCATGGGACAAGGCTCAATCCACTGTACACCAGCCGGACCCCGATCAAAAACATTCTAAAATATAAGTTAGGTTGTTGGGGACATGTACTGTGTGGTTAAGCCTATGCAGTGAACAAGGAGAGACTTTTTTCTTATCTCATACCTTCAACAATGAAGTACAAAAACTATTTACATACTATTTACATTGTGTTAGGTATTGTAAGTAATCTAGAGATGCTTTAAAGTATACAGGAGGATGTGTGCAGCTACATAGTATCTTATTTGATGTAAGGGACTTGAGTATCCTTGGATTTTGGTATCTTTGGGTTCTGAAACTGTAATGCATTTCATAGAGGACAAATCATTTCCCTTTCCTTACATATCTTTCTTTTTTAAAATGTGGTTGAATATAAATTGAATTTCCTACCTCAACCCAGCTCTAACTCTACTCTGAAGTCAACATATTCAATATATTATAGAACCTAACGACCTTTTGTTCAACTTGTTGAAAAATTGTTTTTAATAGTTATTTTCTCTCTAAAAACTGTTGCACAGTGGGTTTGCAGAGCACAGAATTGTCTGCTGTTTGTTTTTGACCTCCTCTCCTTCGCAAAGTCCTATAAAACTTACAACACATTCTTAACAGCCTCGGAGAGGTGATGGCAACAGATAGCCAAAGAGACTGAAAATTCCCGGAAGCCAGAAAGAGGATGGGATCACATTAATGAATGAAACCAGGGAAGGATACTGGACCAGTGGTTTTCAAAATGAGCTCCTAGAGCAGCAGCGAACATATCACCTGGGACCTCGTTATGAATGAAGCTTCGGGGACCTCACCCCAGACCTGCCGAGCCAGAAGCTAAGGGAGTGCAGCCCAGGAGTCTATTTTAACAAAACCTGCAGGTGATTCCAACGCACATCAGTGTTGGAGAACCCTGGACTCGATCATTGTGCTTGCCTCACATAATTTGGAAAATTTTAATTTTGCAAGCCAGAGACTAGTATGGATTGAGATGTGTGTGTCCCCAAAATTTGTATGTTGGAGTCATAAGCCATAAACTGACTGTATTTGAAGATGGGGTCTTCAAAGAAGAAATTAAGGTTAAATAAAGTTGTAAGGGAGTGGCCCCCAAATTACAAAAGGTTAAATCTAAGAGGATTCATAAAACCATCTTGGAGGGAAATGAGGCAATATCTAACAAAACTATGTACACACTTACCTTTTGACCCAGCAAACACAATTCTAAAAATTTACCCAGAAAATGCATTTCTAATAATGCATAAGTATGTATACACAGTTATTAATTAAATCATTGTTTTGGTCTGAATAATATTAGAAACAACCTAACTGTTCATTCATAGCAGAGTGGTTAAAGAAACTCTGGCATATTCAGGTCATAGAATACTATGCAGCTGTGAAGATGAGCGAGGCAGACCTCTGTGAACTGACTTGGATGATTTCCAGGAATTGCTGTTAAATTTAAAAAGCAAAGTGCACGAGTACATCTATAGTACACTACCCTCATGTACAAAAGATGGTAGATGAAGGTACATCTGCTCGTCTGTGCAAAAGAAATACAAGCGTGACAAGTGAAATGAGCCAGACAAAGGCAAATCCCACATGATCTCACTTACAGGTGGAATCTAATGAACAAAATAAACTGACCGATGACCAGAGGCATGGACACATGGAACAGAGCGACAAAGGACAGAGGGGGGGGGACACTGGATAAAAGAGGGTGAGGGGATAGCCAACAAGCATACACGCACAACACATAGACACAGACAACAGTGTAGTGATGGCAAGAGGTGAGGGGGCGGGGGCGGGGTGGAGGTAGGAAAGGGGGTAAAACGAGGACAGTTGTCATACAGGCATGCTAAATGAGACACCAGACAGATGATTGCCTAGAAGTATGAAGGGGTGAGGAGTGGTCACGGAGTAGTAAGGAGAGGAATGGAGTGGCACTTCTCTAAGTACAACTTCTCTTAGAATCATGGCAATGATCTCATTTCCCAAAATAAAATAAAAAATTAGTCAACCAGAGTGGGTGTGGGGGGTATCCAGTTGGAATATAACTGTATTTCAAACGAATAACGTAATCACACTGAAAGGAATGGGAAGAACAGACGTAACCTAAGTAAATTTGGAGCTAGTCTTTTGACTGGATACTGTCATGTTAGACCAAAAGAACTGCACACAAATACTGCTCCCTGGTTAGTAAATCTGTTTCTCAAAGGGGGTTGGGCTAGCAATTCTGAAACTATTTTATGTGCACATTAGGGCTGAAGAATAAGTGAGTATATTGTAGATGAGAGAGCAGATTCTCACTGTAAGAGAAAGCAGAAGCAAACAAGCACAGACAGTTAGAATAAACCCTGTGGCACTGAACTGAAATCAGAAGTATCAGTTTGAACCAATGGTTTATACACACACTTAGAGGAGAAGCCAGAGAGAGAGAGAGAGGCGGGGGGAGGGGGGACATTTTCTAGATCTGTCTGTTGAGAGGGTCTGTGAGCAATGAAACCTCAGTAGCAATGATCATACCTAGCACCCAAATCTTGGTTTCTAAATGCCATTTGCTAATAAAGGGGTTAAAATTTCCATTGAGAAGTGGTTATTCTAGGACTGGGGCAGAGAAAATACAAGATAAGCAGGAGCCAGCCTGAAGACACTTTTAATGGCCAACGATTTAAATAAAAGAGTAATAATAATAGTATTAAATTAAAATTATAGAATAAAATAAATACCTATGAGTTTATGCTAAAATAAATAATTGAATAAATAAATGGAGAGGAAAAGAAAATATTTTCTTACAGTACATTTCCCATTAACACATGTAGAAGGAATGAGGGGAACATAAAATCACCATCAGGCAAGCACGCAGAAATAATTACTGAAGGCAATCAATGCTAAAATTAGTGAGCAAAGTTTAAGAATAAACAGCATGATCTCAATTATTTTCCCTGAGTTCTTCCTCAATTATAGTAAAAAGAGAAAATAATAAGTTCACCATAAAAGAAACACAGCAAATGTCCTTGCCATTGATCAAGATGAAAAAGACCAGCAACAAGACCTATCAGGATCCTATACTCACTAATATGATGCGTAGAGAAGAATAAAACATCACTTCCTTAGAATACTTTTTAATTTTTTTTTAATCCTCACCCGGGGATACGTTTTATTAACTGATTTTGGAGAGAGAAGAAGAGTGAAGAGAGAGAGAGAAAAACATTAATTGGTTGCCTCTTATACGCACACTGACAGGGGATAGAACACACAATTTAGGTATTGCCTTGACAGGGGATCGAACCCACAACCTTTTGGTGTATGGGATAATACTCCATCCCACTGAGTCACCCTGCCAGGGCACTTCCTTGGAATTTTTGTAAAATATGTATAACTTCAACAAAATTATGAAATTGAGAAGCATTCTTCAAAATAACTGGCCACCAGGTATCAACAGTGATGAAAGGCAGGGAAAGAATGAGAAACTGCCATAGAGTGGAAGAGACAAAGGATCAAATGCAAGGTATGTGGTTGGTTGTATCCCGGACAGAAATAAGACAGTGGAGGAAAATTGATGACATTGGACTAATGTCTACGCTTTAGTTAATAGTGTCAGACCAATTTGAATTTCTGTATTTTGATCATTGTACTATGTGCACATTCTTAACATTAGAGGAAGCCGAATCTCTGTACCCCTTTTTGCCACTTTTCTATAAATTTAAAGTTATTTTTTACAATGATATTGCATGTGTGTGCTGCACCGATTACACACGGTGTTTTTACTCCGCAGCCAGCATTGAAAGCATCTGGATGGCCACACCTTCTCCTTCCAGTGTCTGGTTGCGCGTCTCTTACCTTCCTCCCCTCGAGGAAATTCAGAGCAGTGCCGATGTTAGCCACAGCATGGATCCGCTTCACGTGGCGTCCTTGCTCACAGGGCTGCAGGGGAACAGGAAGAGATCAAAGCGCACGCTGCACAGCGAGCTCAATAAAAAATAAAAAGGATGGTCATGAAGTCTATTTCAGTGGATTTAAACATACTTGCAGGATATTCAAGAAGAGCCAGCATTACTCAATTTCTATGAAGGTTACCAGGTACACAAAGGAGCATTATGCGCACAGCACCTTGAAAGGGGGCCAGTGTACTCAGTAAAGGCATCTGTCTCCGTTCTGTTCATGAGTTTGCTTTCAGGACGCTGCACATCTTAGGGCGGAAATTCACAGAATTCCCATGCTGTCTACTGAGACTATCGCCCTATAAGTTAGGAAATATTTACATGAAAAATTCTCTTGCTGCGTGTGTGAGGGCCCAGGGTAATAGGAAATATCTGTTACTTTTCTTATAATTTTGTTGGAAACCTGAAACTGCTCTAAAAAATTGTCTTTAAGAAAAGTAGTCTTGGTCACTCACCATTTTTTTTTTTTCAGTTATATTACATGAAAGGTTATTGACAATATTATAAGATATCTTGGTTTGGATGACCAAAATATATGGAGCACATGAGCCAGGGTTAGAAAGGATGATTGTGAGAATTAATATATTATTTACCCAAGAGGAAGTTCTGATTATCTGTGTTTGAGTTACTAAAATTCATCATGTGCTTTCTATGTATTACAATGTGAAGTTTAAAACTCGAAATAATTTCATTGAAGTAGATAGTATTAGCCTCCTTTACACTGACAGGAGTTAAATGGGCAGTTGAGGTGAAGTGATTTTTCCATATTGATAGCTGGTAAACTGATTTCTCTGTGACACCCAGATCCTAAATAATCCACCATTAAAGCTCCAAACCGAGTATCATTTACTTTCCAATTATAGCATACCAGGTAATAACATTTTATGATATAATTTTAAACTAATATTTAAATAGAAAATGCACTTTTTAAATGTTTGACTTTTATTTACTTATTACTTGGGAACCTGTTATACATGATATCGTTCTATCATTGGTTCATACATGGTCCACTTTGTTATTTATTTAATTAGTTTTTTTTAATAATGTAAAAAGCATCTATGAACCTGCCAACTAAAACAAAGCCAGGATACAGAAATTAAGTACGAACCCCTGACTGGTTTGGCTCAGTAGTTAGAGCATCGGCCCTTGGACCAAAGAGCAGCAGGTTTGATTCTAGTCAAGGGCACGTACCTTGGTTGTGGGTTGGTCCCCGGCCCTGGTCGGGGTCGTATGGGAGGCAACCAGTCGATATGTCTCTCTCACATCGATGTTCCTCTCTCTCTTCCTCCCACTCTATCTGAAGATAAATAGAAAAATATCTTCGGGTGAGGATTTGAAAAAGAAGAAAGAAATTAAGGACAAAAACCATACCCCTCAATGCCACCATCGACCATTCATCTATCTGCCTTCCTACATCATTATACTAAATCTACCCATTGTTTTCCTTTTATATAAATTCAATTCCTGTATATGCATTCTTAAATAGAATACCTATTTTCATTTTTAAGTTTACATAAAGGTAATCACTGCATTAATCTTTTGAGACATATTATTCCACATAACATTTTTTTCCTAAGATTCATCTGCGTTGTTGCCTGTCACTGCATTGCATTCGTTTTGACAGCTGTACTGTATGCTGTTCATCTACTCTCCTCTTGATGTGAATCTGGGTTATTTTCAGGTTATTTCTGGTTTGACCTGTGCTGATAGATCGTTCTTGCATGTCCCGCCTCTGGTACAGGCATAAAGGGTTTCTCTTGGGTGCATACTTGGACTCGCTGGGTCAGAGGAAGGGGGGCTTTTGAACCTCAAAAGTGATGCCAAACTTTTCTAAAGTGTCCGCGTTACTTTTCACTCTTGTCAGCAATATAAGAATAATCTCATGGAGAAAACAAATTTTTTTCAGTTGAATGTACATGACAAGGTCTTCCCTTGTGGTCTTCCTTTGCATTCCCTGCTCAGCAATGGTGTGAACATCTCCTGTCCACTCTCCCTCTGGGCTGTTTCCCTCTTACTTTCTGAAGATGTGCTTTGTATGACCTTCCTGCAATCTTGCCTTAATGCTGCCACGACATCTGAATATCTGCGACCAATTTCTAATTTCTCTAGCCACTTTCTTTAAAGGTTTTTGATTGAAAAACATTTCTAAATTTAATATCAGTCAAGTGTAGCAATCTTTTCTAGTCAATATTTTATGCCTTATTATTTTTCCCAATCCTGATGTCTCAGAATTATTCACCTAGATTTTCCTCTCAGAGTTTAAAGTGCTTTTGCCATTAGGTCCTTAATCCATTTTTGTTTGTTTTTTAATCCTCACCCGAGGATATTTTTCAATGATTTTCAGACAGAGTGGGGTGGGGGTGGGGAGATAGAGAGAGAGACACACCGATTGGTTGCCTCTGTCTGACCCTGACCAGGGCCGGGGATCGAACTGCAACCGAAGTACATGCCCTTGACAGGAATCAAACCCGTGACTCTTTGGTCCACAGGCTGACGCTCTAATTGTTGAGCCACACTGGCCAGGGGCATTTTGAATTTTTGTATAGGCCATGAGATAGGATCCAACTTCCTATTTTTCTATTAGGATAAACTTTTTTTGTTCCACTTACTGAGCAGTCTCTCCCCCACACATAACTGACACCTACCTGTGACATGTGCTGAAGTTCCAGTCATACCTTGGTGTGTGTCTGGACTCTACTGCATTTGTCAATATACTCATCCCTGTGCCGATGCCACACTGTCTCAAGTGACACAGTGTCATTGTAAGACCTGATATGTAGGAGACAAGTACCTTCTCTCTGCCTTTCTTCTTCGGAAACATCCTGGCTAAGCAAGCAAGGTATAAACATCTATTGTGTTTTCCCATCTCATATCTGCATCCATTTTTACACAACTTAACCTGCCTGAACTAATACAGTGATCCTCTCTTCTGGGCTACATACTCTTTGAAGGTACTGACCATCTCTCATTCATCTGTGTTTTCCTTAGAGAGCATACAGTAGTGTCTTATTCATAATAAAATTCCAGAGGTGTTAGCCAAATGGATAGTCACTTGGATAATGTAAAACCCAGTTGCAGACTTGTGTTTTACTTTAGATATATGATTGATGGCTAATCAATTTGCCTGGTGAGCATGCAGCAGTCTTTGCCGCGCCAGACTTCCTGAGAGTGTGTGCTGTGCAATTTTAAGTGGATTTCAGGCCCCTTTTAAATGCAAAGTGTGTAAGAGATTTTAAAATACTGTATAGAAGATTTCCCTGGCCAGTGTGGCTCAGTTGGTTGGTCATTGATTGTCCCAGGCAATGAAAGGTTGCTAGTTTGAGTCCCAGTCAGGGCACATGACCGAGTTTTGGGCTCGATTCTTGGTAGGGGGAGTGTAGGAGGCAGTCGATGGATGTTTCACTCTCATATCAATATTTCTCTCTCTCTCTCTCCTTCTCTCTTCCTCTCTATCTAAAAATCAATAAAAGATCTTTAAAATAAAAGGGGCTGTCATCTCATTAAAAAATTAACAAAGTAAACAAGGAATAAGTTTGTTTCTATTATTTCTAATTTTTCAATAGTAATCCTTCACATCATTAAAAAATCTTGTATAAAATTAAATTAAGTGTTCCTATGTTTATGTGTGAGTAAAGACATAATCACTGCTCCATTTAAAGAATAAATGTCCTGCCCTGGATGGTTTGGCTCAGCGGTTGGAGCGTTGGCCTATGGACCAGAGAGTCCCGGGTTTGGTTCCCGCTAGGGGCACATACCAAAAATAAAAAATAAATAAATAAATGACCTACGACTAATAAATAAGAGATATAGAAAAATCCAAGAATAATATTTTTAAAATCCCCTAGGACCTTAAATAATATCATAGACAAGAGAGTGACAAATGGTTGTTAAAGGGAACTGGGATATTGAGAGTCAACCCTTACCCTGAGTTGCTGGCAGCAAAGGGGATTCTAAGCCATTTGGACATATTTCCCAGATGATCATGGTAAGAGCCCGAGTCCTGGGCTATGGGAACTGTGATGTTAAGTACAGTGTTCTTAATGGAGTTCTACCTGCGAGATGATTATAGATTTCCTGAACAGTTTAATGCTCCTCTGGGCGTTTCTCGTTCCCACATTTTCCCTTTGAGAGGTCGAAAGGAATGTCTCGACACACGTCCCTCTAAATGCTGCTGTATATCTTACTGTGGTTCTTAACTGTGATGTACACATGTTCAAAACTTAACAGTTCCCAAGGCTGATTTACAATTTCAGAGTAATTCACATATGTAATTCAGAATCTTGAAGTGCTCAATATAAATCAACAATAAAGGTTAAATCTCGGAAACTGTCCTACTATGTTCCAGTTTCCCCACCTGTTAAATGCAAATGCTGAGATTCTTTTTGAAATTGATTGTAGCTTCAGAATTCTATAATTATAACTATGTCTGAATGAGTAGGGCACTTACACAGAGAAGTAGGAGTCTTAGGTCAAAAATATATGCTTCTAGAATCATATGCTGGGCAGTTACATGTCCATGAAGGTTTCTGCATACTGGTGGCCAAGTATAACGGCAGAATTATGTTGACACTCAGAGTAATACACTTCTTAACTACACCCATTTGAATTACAATAAAGTTCCCTTCAGCCTTCTAGGAAATAGCTTAATTCAGAAGGTTATATACTATAACCAGTTCTATTTGGCAATCAAGGGAGTATATATTTCAATTCAACGACTCTTACATCCTAACGCTTATCCAGTTTATTTAGTTCATGCGTATGTCTGCATCCTCCCAACTGGCTGTTTGTGGGTCTTGTTCAATTTCCCCTGAAACAGAGCCTGAGCAAAGGACTTGGCTGCGTGTAGTTTATCGGAGGGATGATGCCAGGTGACAGGGGTGAGGATTCATGGAAAGTAAAACAGGGAAGGGGAAAAGCCAATAAAGGAGGCACTCTGGAGGGTTCCGCTGTGGGCAACGGGGCTCAGTCCTGAGGACCCAATTGGGCTCTCAAAGGGATCTGTAAAATATGCCTCAGAACAGTTCCTCCTACAAACGCCAGGCTGGAGTGCTCCCGTTGCCAATGGTCCAGGGTCCTTTGGGGCCATGAACTGTCCTGTGTTTGAGGGCTGCCTGGGGCAGTTAGTGGCTTTGATAAGCCCCGAGGGCAGAATCCCAGAGGTGTGCCACCAGTGCTCGAGATCAGATGCTGGTAAGGGCATGGGTAACGCCCACCACTGCGTGGCTGGAATCAGATGTGAGCAGAGATGGCATCCAGGCCACAGAACGCATCTGCTACAATATGAATCAAATTTAAAAATGACTTACGCAAAATTATTATCAGTTTGTATTTTTCAATAAACAACCTTCTTCCGAAAGCTATTTTGAGGACTCCTTTCACAAAATTAACTAGAAATTTATGTTCAGGAAAAAAAAAGTTTTTAAAAACTAAATTATCCAAGTAACGATTATACTGTAGCTCTTACCAAGATGCAATAGATAAAAAAAAAAAAAGAAGTACTCCAACTTTTGGGCCCTGTGTCTAGAGTGTTATACAACATTACAAAGACCATTTCCTGAGCCCCTCTTTCTTATTATGGTAAACATCATTTATAAATAGTTTATGTTTGCAAACTACTTACTTCTCTATCATTCTGAAATAGAAATAAACATACTCCAGAAAAAAAAATTATTATTTGAGTAATGTGGAAATTGTTACAGCTCACTGTGGAGGTTGTTTTTTACTGTGCTGGTTCTGCTGTGTATAAAAGCAAATGATTCTGAGCATGCTATTCCTGTGACAAATGACTGATGCTGAAGGATGTCCACAAGGTTATGAAAAAAATGCATATTGACTTCAGCTTACTTTTTAACAAACAACTCTATGAATGCACAGGTATGGGCCAACAATCTTTTCCAAATGGCAGACAATCATCTGAGGTGAGGCTGGTGTTGGTTTGCAACTAAGCTTCTTGGGTACCGTCCGGATGCAATAGTTAACCGTGATTGCCTGACTACTGAGGAAGGTCTCTGTTCTTACTTTTAAGGTGGCAGCTACTGTATGCAATGTTTTAAATCTATTAAAAGTGTGCAGGAACAAGAAAGGGAATGCATTCCTTGCTCCTGGAAGTGATCGATAGACTAGTGTTTCCTGAAAAGAGGAAAACTTTACCTTACATAGGTAGAGTCCCTTACACTCCCAGTTCCACACCTCCAATTCCAAATGGATGGAATTTGAGAAATACCATCACAGGAAAAATTCTTACCAGTTTATGCCCGGACAGGACTTCCAGGAGAGCAAGCAGTTTAATACCATCTTTCATGTCTTCAAAAAGATCTTCTACCACCATTGGGGGTTTCCGCTATAAAAAAAAAAAAAGAACAAATGCAAAAACTGCTTGTCTCTTTCTCTGTCATACCTTTGCTACTCATTGTGGTGACATTCATAGGAGAAATTTCTAAAATACCGAAATGGTTTATTTTGGATAATAGTGGCAATTAACATTTGATAGCTGTAAGGAGAACAGCGGTTCTTGGAGATAAACTTCAGATTCAAGAACCTCAGGAGACTTGGTGCTGGGGCCCCCACGCGCACCCCAGCGTCCTTCCAGAGAGGGCTATGTGGCAAGGGTGGACGATGTGGAGTGAGGGATGGAGAAGAGGGCGCTCTCGGTGGAAAAGATGGAAGACGTTGAAGCTGGACCTCAAAGGGGAGCAGGAGGTGCCCCAGTTGAACTGGACCAACCTTCTAATTTCGTTCGCTGAGTGAACATTTCCCGGGCTAAACCAGGTGCCGCGGTTCCGTAGGACATTCTCTCCCGGGAAGCTCCCAGCTCTGTGCCCGGCGGTGGGAGCGCGGTTAGCCAAGGGCACCGACCTCGGCTCTGCGGATTCGCTGGCTGTGCCCTGTTTCCTAGCCCGGCAACCCTCTCCCAGCTTGGCTTTGAACCCAGAGGATCATGAGTGCAGCGGTACAGACTAATCAGTGCAAAGCCATCGCCACTACTGGAAAATAAGTCAAGGCCCCCTTCAGCTCATGGAGGGTCTTTCATTGTTTATGAAGGTTGTTACAATACTTAATATACTAGGGTTCATCAACCTTGAACTAAGGTCTATCTTGGCTCAGAAAAAAGTACGGAGTGATAATGCTAATGTTAATGGTTAATGCAAGATAAAGGTCCTCAGATTTCTCAGAGAATAACAGCTTTTTCTATTTTTCTCTATAGTTTTCTGATTCTGAGTCATGGTAAAGGCCTGATGCTGGGTTCCTGACTTTCAATTATTTTCTTTAAAATAAGAAATTTATAGGTAGAGATATTTAATTGCCAAATGTTTTATTGAAATGTGACTTTTTTTCCCTACCCACTGATATGAAGCATTTATATTTCTCTTATGACTGTATGAGTTCCAATCTCTGAGTGGTACAATTCCAATTTTAAACACATTTTTCTCTTTTCATAAAGTGAACAGCTAAATACATTTTGTTCTCATGCTGTGAATACATGTTCAAAAATAATAGTTTTCATTTGCAATCATTTTCTTTTAAATTCCACTATTGACACTGCTTATTATTTATATAGCAAAAATGTAATAGTGACTTTATATTCTAAGCATATAAATAAAATTATTCAGAATAAAATGAGCCATTACAATGAAAACTATTCAGTGCAGTAAGAATCAAAATTATTGTATGAACTACACATAATCATTAGCAATATGGTCTACTTATCCTTGAAAATGTCCCCTTGTATCTTGTAATTTAAAAACAGTGGAAAATAAGAAATGATATACAGATGTATATCATACATCTGTAATATATTCAGGGAACAAACACAGATAAAGATTTTCATCTATTGTGTTAATCTGAAAATATATAAAGAAAGTTAAACAAAGCAGGGGATTTTCATAAAATAAGAAATATGCCAAGAAATTTGACACCAAAAAGATAATAAATTGCACCCATACTTCCATTTTACTTAAACACACACAGGTCTCTGCCACTTTGAAGGACATTTTCTCTTGACCCCATTTCTGCCTGTCCTCTTCCCCCTGTGTCTCTCCTGGTGCTCACCTGCTCCTGCCCCCTGCTGCCCCTGCACAAGCCCCCGGAGTGGCCCCACAGCAGCAGTGCCACCGAGAAGTTCAGCAGCCCCCGGCCTCTCTGCTTTGGCAGCACCCTCTCCTTGACCTGTTCTTCCCCAAACCTTTTTGATCAGCCTGCCTGGCTTACAGGCCTCTTTTCTTTCTCTCTCTCCTTTCTTCCTATCTGTCATTCACCAAACTCAATCCCAACTCTTACGGTTTTTACATAATTTTGCCTGGATGGACATGACCCCTCAGTCTTTCTTTAAGTGTTCTCTCCCGAACACCACTGAGCGCAGGGTAGATGCCCAATGTGCGTTGCTGGCCGATTGACTGAATGGATGAATATAGTTTTCTCAGGAAAAAAAAAAAATCTTTGTAGACACTATGCCCATCTTCATGGGTCTTTAAATGCAGTGCATATATGATGGGCAAAGAAAAACGGTCTCCAGGTTCTGGGCACTCGCAGACTGCACCATGACACAGACCCAGAAGTATGTTGTCCCTGGGTGCCTTGTCGTCAGCAGCAACCCATTAAACACTTGTTGAAGGAATGAATGAGTTTTTCAGTCTGGGAAAGAAGTGTAGATGGCTTTTATTTGAATACAGATACCTAAAATACTTCCCTTTCCTCTTTTTCTTCTTAGCAAATTCCTGGTCAGTTGACATCACTCCGTTTATACGTAATCTTTCTCAGTTCTCCAACAAAAATGAATGGCTTCTTCTGTCTTAAGTATGCTGTTCAGATCACAAGGATCACATTCTTTTATAGTTACAAACCTTTATAGATGACAAATCTGTGTGCCAGGGACTCAGATCATGAGAATTTGGATGCACCTTTATATGCTTAGTACCAGGCATGGTGCTTAGCATTGCTGTCAGTAAATATGTAGTTCGTGACTAACACACACTCAACAGGGGCACTTACAAATATCTTTTGGAATCTTAAGGAGATAGGCACAAGTAAAATCATAATGCCCAAAGTTCTCTTTTTATAGGAAATATGAGTTGCTTCTGAAAATGTTCCCACCAGTGTTTTCCTACACAAAGTGAAGAGATATACTCTGGTGGCTATTAACCCACAAAACAGACATTGGGAAAAAATACACCTGTGTAAAATAAAAATGCTTATGTCAATTTAACTTGTAATATACAGGTTTTATATTTTAAACACATTGAATTATAGCATTATACAATCAGTTCTTTATTTAATACCTCAACAAGTAAAAAAAAGAAGAAAATAAATCTCTGGCCAACCTTCCTGCAAAGAGCTGGCAAAAATATACTATCGAATGATCTTGATATTTCCACAAGCTCTATTCAATAGCACATAAGTATTGTGTGAAGCCAAAAAACATCCCCATTTATCAAAAATTACAGGAGAAAGAAAAAGTTCTCATAATGACTAGACATGTTTCATTATCCCTTTTTGCCTAAAGTATTATTTGCATACAGTAAATGATCAATCAGAGGAGACCTGTATTATTGTGACTGCATCATACTTTTTTCGTGTGTGCAATATTTTAATAGAAAACCTTCCAGTTAAAATATCTTTCCTGTCACATGTATAAACATAAAACCAATCTGATTACTTTGGTAGGATTCTGGTCATGGTCCTGGATTCCAATCGGAAGAGTCAGAAAGGAGGGTCATTTGTTGGATCCTGACTTAATGGAAAATAAAAATAATGTGGTTTTATTGCTCACCAATTTTCAGTTTCAAGCACTAGATACTAACCTATAAGGTACTTTTTAAGGGCACAATTATCTTTTTTTTATTAAGGTAAAATTATGATAAACTTTTTTTGTATAGTATTTGGAAAAGTCATATGCCACTTGGCCCCGTCAGTCACACAGATACTCCACAGACATTCGTGAGGTGGTCAGAACTCTGGCACCTCTGCCTGGGTGAGATGAGGGGGAGACGGAGATGGGAGGGAAGACAAGGAGAAAGAGGTACTTGGCTTCTGTGGCTTCCCCTTCCAGAAACTCTCCTCAAACTAGGTTCGAACTAAGTTCTGGCTCTGAGAGGACTGCCTGGTTGCTGAAAGTCTCTGGGCACTCAGGGACCACGCACAGGCTCTGTGCCAGGCTGCACTTGGTGGCTACTCGTGATTGGAGCAGATGTCACAGAACACCTGTCTCTCTCTTCTCCTGTCCCTTATTGTTGTTATGCGGCCCCTTTAATGACATGTGATGAGCTTCCCTCCCTTTCTCCTAGGACTTAAAAGAGATCAAATGTTTCTCCTTGAATTTTATGAAACATGAGAATGCACAGGTATCTTTGACATAATTTTTACTATTTCCTGCATTTGGGGAAAATAATCTATTCCCTAACGTGTGTGTGTGTGTGTGTGTGTGTGTGTGTGTGAATAACCTGTGCCTATAAGCACCAGTACATACCTTGATTTTATGCCCCTAGAAACAATTGCATTAATTAGGGGAAAAAGGATTAAGAATATTTTCGATAAAAAAAATATCAGACACAGCTATTTGGCATAAAATAAAAAATTTTTAAATTGTCACACTTAAAAAGTGTACATGAAATAAAAAATGTTGGTGCATAAAGTAAATATGGCAAAGTAGTCACTATTATGGACTACATATATAAATTCTAATGTTTACTAGATGTTTCTGTGGCTTGGATATTTACATATTCTAATTTAGTAGATGTTTTGATAGGGGTTAAGGGGGAGGGAAAGGAGAATAAGAAGAATAGGAAAGAATGAATAATCTATTGTTCATCATCTCAATGTGCCAAGCAGTATGCTGAGGGCTTGTACATGTCTCATTTAATATTCATAACTACCATGAGAGTTATGAATATTATAATAGTATGAGAATATCACCCCCTCTTTATTTATTGATTTATTTTTAAATATGTTTTCATTGATTTTTTGTAGAGAAAGAGGAAGGAAGAGAGAGATAGAAACATTGATGTGAGAGAGAAACATTGATCAGTTGCCTCCTGCATGCCTCTTACTGGGGATTGAGTCCGGAACCCAGGCATGGGCCCTGACCAGGATTTGAACCAGGACCTCTCAGTCTATGCGACAGCTCTCAATCCACTAAGCCACACCGGCCAGGCTCACCCCCTCTTTAAAAGCAAGAAATAATGTTAGAGAGGTTAAATCAATGGCTTAGATCACACCCCAAGTAAATGACTAGATTTGAGCCTAGGTTTATTATACATTGAGCTACCTTGGAAAGTAAGCTTAGTAGAAAAATTAACATTAAAAATTTTTTTTCTGAATAATACACAAACCTATAAATGTGATTTT